TATTACCCAGTAATATGTTCATAGTATGCACATGTGGAACTGGACTGTGAAATAAAGTGCGACCGCCGCATCCTCTCACTCCGCCTGTTCTGTTTCTAACGAGAGGACTAGAGCGTCTTCAACATGATTAAAAACAACAACACCTTTGTCTACTTCTGTCACTGAAAGTCTTGGTAACAGGATCCACGCTGGCAAATGTCATTTTGTGTTATTGTTGACTTGGACTCATCGGCGGGATGCATTTGCCAGTTCGGCCCCAGAGCAAACCGAAACCCCAGTCCAATTAAACACAAGCGTGATCTGAGGCCTCCAGATCAATCTGTGTACTTTTGGACCGAAAATATAATTGGTCAATATACACGAGATTGAACATTTTATTAAACAGTTATATGTTAAACATTATGACTTTTTAAATATAATGATGAATAAGTAAATTGCTAATTTTATCCAAGGAATTGGAAAAAATATGTATTTTATAATGGTATCAGTGTGTTGATGAGGATATACACATTACTTTTATTATTCAAGTTTTATATACATCATGTGTTTGTTGTAAAATGTCTAATAACATACTTTGTAGTTTTAATGTACAAATAAGGTTTCAATGTTTTCTTTTCTCCTCACAAAAAGACGCAGTTATTTGATCAAAAACTACGGTAAAAATATTTACAATTTTCCATACTGGAATATGGAATATTTTTTTTTCCATATGAATATATTTTAAAATGTAATTTTATTCCTGTGATTTAAAGCTGGATTTTCAGCATCATTACTCTTCAGTGTCACATGATAAATTATGAAATTATAAATAGAAGAAATTATTCTAATATGATTTTGATATTCAAACTTTTATTTTTATTTTTTTGTTTAATATTATTATACAGGTATTTAATAAAGGTATCTGTGTGATGTTGATATCTGTGTTACTGGCCTTCAAAGTACTTGGTGAAAAGATTGCATTAAACAAAATTCTATATCAAATTTATAATTCATTTATGTTGATTCAACATTAATTTGGGGATTCTGCAAGCTAATCTTTTTTCAGTTTTTTATTATAATTTTACTTTTTACTTTTTATTATAATTTTTTTAGGTGTTATATATTTGTAAAATGTATTTATTTTTTTATTGACACGTTTTAATGTATTTTGAGTTATATATGTATTATATAAGTTTATTTTTGTTTATGCCTTCCTCTTAAAATCGGCTTTTATTATCATAATTTTACTTTTTTATTATAATTTTTTAGGTGTTATATATTTGTTAAATCTATTTAATTTTTTATTGACACGTTTTAATGTATTTTGAATTATATATGTATTATATAAGTTTATTTTTGTTTATGCCTACTTCTTAAAATTGACTTTTATTATTATAATTTTACTTTTTACTTTTTTATTATATTTTTTTAGGTGTTATATATTTGTAAAATCTATTTTGACACATTTTAATGTATTTTTAATTATATATGTATTATATAAGTTTATTTTGTTTATGCCTACCTCTTAAATCTCTTAAAATCGGCTTTCACTATTATAATTTTACTTTTTAATTTGAATTTTTTAGATGTTATATATTTGTAAAGTCTATTTATTTTTTTATTGACACATTTTAATGTATTTTGAATTATATATGTATTATTTAAGTTTATTTTTGTTTATGCCTACCTCTTAAAATCGGCTTTTATTATTATAATTTTACTTTTTATTATAATTATTTTAGGTGTTATATATTTGTAAAATCTAATTATTTTTTTTATTGACACGGTTTAATATATTTTGAATTATACATGTCTACCTCTTAAAATCGACTTTTATTATTATAATTTTATTTTTTACTTTTTTATTTTGTAATTTTTTAGGTGTTATATATATTTTTTATTGACACATTTTAATGTATTTTTCTTTGTATTATATTAGTCAATAGAGAAATCTATATTTGTTTGGGGTGACCCTGAGGTTAGCAAACACAATCAAGATTAACGGGTGACCTATTATCGATCCTAATGAAATGACATCACAGGGGTCAGAGGACATTTTAAAAGCTGAACAAATGGCTACTGTAACTGTACCACTGTTTCTGTATATTTTTGTTTATGCCCACCTCTTAAAATCGACTTTTATTATAGTTTCTCCTAATTATATTTCTACATCTCGCTTCTGGTATTCTTCATAAAAGTGCTGGCGGAATGAGTTTATTAAATGTTTTATATTTTGACACACATATGCTAATTCGACAGTCCAGTGCTTCAGAAATCTCTCCGTTTCCTTCTCTTTCAGCAAATTATTCATGTGTGATATAAATACACATCCACACAGATGGATGTCGACTCTTCCCGAGTGCCTTAGCAACTGGTGTCTCACAATACAAATTTCTCACAGTTTCTCGCCCACCACCAAAGCTCTGGAAAGTTCCCCACAGAGATGTTTGTTCAGCTAAATTCGGTGTCACTCAGATGGCACTTATACAAAACGTCTTGACTGATATACATATGTGCGTCTGCTAGAAGAAAAAAAATCACTATCAAATCTTTTAACAGAACATATCATTTATCATCCAATCTGAGAAAATAACCAATATGAAGTATCCTGAGACTAAACGGAAAACTCGAAAAAATGAAATATTAGGAAGGAGTGCAGAGGTATTTTCTGAAATGAGGTTGAGTTATGATTTTTGCACGTTCGAATCCAAATAATCAGACGTAAATTCAACATGAATTTCTATTCTCGCTGAACGCTGTTCTGTTGCTGCAGATCTGACATTGTGACTTTGACAGATTTGTTGATTGTATTTGAGAGTTCTGTCTGCATTTTATAAAAGTTGGAGATTTGAGCGACAATGATAGAACATAAGACCAGAGGAGATCATATTTTGGAGATCTTGCTCATATTTTGGAGTCTAGTTTTTTTTTTTAAATTTGTATGAAACTATTAGTGTAGATACAAATAAGTGTCCAAAGTTGCCCCTTCAGATCCCTCAATTGTGTGGTAGCCTATGCAGCATTTACATTTAATTTTTATTTTTTAATTTATTTTATTTTTCATTTACTTTCATTTTATTTAATTGTATTATTTTTTTTCTATTCATTATTTTTTTATTTAAATTTTCTTTTTAATAATTTTATTTTATTTATTATTTTATGCAATGCAATTCAATGCAAGTTGCAGTTTTTAGATACAAAACGGTGTCCAAGATTACATAGTCCACTAACTGTGCCTTCCACAGAGGGTGTGTTTATCTTTTGTCCTTTAGAAAAGAGGACTGTCACAATTTTTTGTCACAGCTGAAAAACATTGGCAGGAAATGTTGCATCTCCATTGCAAGTGAAGCCTATATCTTGCAACGTATTGTGTCAGAAAGGTCTAGTGTGGACTCACCCCATCATCTGCTCCTACGTCATGGCGGATATTAAATCTGTGGCCATAAGAAGATTCACATCTTCCTTTACCTCTTAAAAGCTACTGATTCTCTTGTGTTGGCAGCTAATAAATTGCTTTCATGGAACTGAAGGGCGTAGCACTGAAATGTGTGGCGGACAGTTTGCTCTAAATAAATTGCTTGGCGCTATCTGATCACGAACCACCGTGAGGAACTGATTGGTTTTGCGACAAAAGTGTTTGGAGAGGGAGAGAGAATGGACGGCAAACACTTGTTGTGATAGAGTCTGATAGATAAAAACAAAGCTGGTGTTACCTGAAGTTTACATCAGAGGAGAGTGTGAAGGCCACGGCCTGACACTGATCCTCTTTCCCATCAGAAACAGCCCTGATGTGATGAGAGCTCCTCTTGAAGAACAGCCTCCTTTATTTAGTCAATAACTAAAACTAGCAGAATTTCAATTCTGTGCTTTCTGAGAGTATGGCTATTACTTTTACTTAAACCTGTTGTTATTGATTTACATAGGCTATTGAACAAAAGTGTGCAAAATATGTGTGATGGGATTCATAATTAAACATTTGCATCTGTTATTTGTGCATGCATCTATAGGGGACTTTGTAAACCTTGTGAACATGCAAAGCAAGAACTTAATCTGTTAATAACTATATGAATAACTTAAATAATCCACCAATAAATGGAGGGTGTTTCATGTCAAAGTAAAAATAGTAATGGTACTCACAATTTAAGGAAATGCAGTAAAATAATAGGGGCAAAAGCACGGTTAATTGATTATATACTGTAAATCAGTTTTATTTCAAGCACATAAACACTGTTCTGTTTTGATTAAGCAAAAACTGTGACACTGCTGCTCTCGTGTGGTGAGAGAGGAAAATAGCTATAAATGAAACAAATGATGTCCTTCTCTTGAGAGATAGATGGGTAGATCAGAATTTCATATTGTTTTTTTGACCATATCGATAATATATTGAAACGTTTTTTAAATGATTTTTAGATAATCAACTAACTTTTCCATTTCTGATAATTATATGGCCGCAGGCGTTACATGATTATTATCTTAAAGCTTCCGCTACGAAAAATAGTCCACCACAACACTGCAACAATTAGGCTACAATATTAGTTTAAACTATTATTATTATTATTATTATTATTAATTAACTAGGCAAGTAAAATAGATTTAGTAACAATGTTGATTATTATACAAGTTACTTGTCTTATATTACAAGTTCGCTCCCATTCCGCTTTTTGTGTCAGTTTTGCTACAGGTTTGTTTCCGATGTTTTCTTTCCTTTTTTTTTCTTTTGCTTTATCTGATGGTCTTCAATTTCTATACATCATTGGTATGTTTACTCTGACGACAGCTTTAAAACACAAGACATGTTGTAACGTATCAACGTGTCCGCTTTAAGTTAAAGATCGCGGAGTGATACGAGATATGTGAAAATAGCACTGGAGTGATGAATATATGGCAGATGAAGACTTTCTCGTTTTACATCAAGCGCTGTAACGACTCTGATCGTTTAGCATATAAAATTAATATAAATATAAATTAAATAATCAAACAATCTAGTGAATATATACAACTATTATTAGGCTATTGCCAGTCTGCATCCCGTGTAGGCTATCTCACTTCTCAATCCCTCACTGCTTCTCAGGGCGATGGAGAGCCACAGGTGCGCACAGGCTCAGCCACAGGCTCAGGTGAGCTCGGGTGTCGCTTCCCCGTCCTCTGGACTCCCTCACCGGGCGGCTCTGATTCTGGCCCGGGGTGGCAGTAAAGGAATCCCTCTGAAGAACATCAAGAATCTGGCCGGTGTTCCTCTCATCGGATGGGTTCTGAGAGCCGCCTTGGACTCAGGAGTCGTTGACAGGCAACTATATTTGAGCCTTTCTTTACTGTTTTAATAGTATCGCTTTAATGCGTTTTGCTGTTATTGTTTTTCATTAGGCTATACTTTTCATTATTTTGTAGGCTATTAAACCAAATTGAACTGGGAAGTAAATGAAATAGGCTATTGGCCGCACGTCTATTTACGCATTTAGTAGGCTATTAAAATATGGCTTTTAGTCTTAAGTTGTCTTTTGTAAGTAAATTTGTCTTTTATAATTTGCCTTTTGTGTGTCAGCGTGTGGGTTTCCACAGATCATGACGAAATTGAACGGGTCGCAAAAGTCTGGGGTGCGAAAGTTCATCGTCGCAGTCCTGAAGTTTCCAACGATTATTCCAGCTCTCTGGAGACTATCCAGGAGTTCATCCGACTGAGACCCGGTGAGACATTCCTTCATCATCTTACTTTCATTTTATGCCAAAAAATTGAGAACTTGCTGACATATTTTGAGGTTTTACATCGCAAGTAGCCTATGACTTGTAGAGCATTTTATGAGATTAAAATTTCATGTTTTGTCATTTACCTAATGCTATAATTTTCCTGCATGTGTTTTGAACTGAGGAATGTAGGAGATAAAATACAAGCTAATAATGTGTGTGTGTGTGTGTGTGTGTGTGTGTGTGCAGTTTGTACAGTAAAAAATAGTCAAAGTCAAAGTCAAAGTCCAAATAAAATGATAACACACTGTTTGTGTGCCTGAGTAAAAAACCTTGCTGTTATGTATTTCATAATTTGAACTTGTATATTTATGTACTTTTAATAAAAAAAAATTACAAAGTAATTTTCCATGTAAATATGTAAATATTTTTAGGAAGCCGAAAGTGTAATACTGACTAAAGGGTTAGGGTTAGAATTAGATTTGTTGTAGGGTTAGTTGCATGTAATTATGCATAATTTAGTTATTACTATAGGAACAACATCTAAAATGTAACAAGGACACTGCAAAATAAAGTGTTACCAACATTTTTTACAATCTTTGTTAATGGTTGATAATAAATGTTAGTTTACAGTGCATTAACTAATATCAATAAATGCTGTAAAAGTATTGTTCATTCTTAGTTCATGTTAATTATTGAAACCTTATTGCAAAGTGTTACCAAATCTGTTTACATGCCAGAAAGACCTCCATCTTTATTGTATTTGTCATTTGTTTTGTCTCTGTGTTTTAGAGGTGGACATCGTCTGTCATATTCAGGCTACGTCTCCATGTCTGCACCCTCATCATATCAGAGAAGCCCTACAGATGATCACAGGACAGGGGTATGACTATGTGTTTTCAGTGGTGCGCAGACACCAGTTTCGGTGGGAAGAGGTGGACAAGAAAGGTACAGTATCACAAACTCCCATAAGGAAACAATTGTTTAGTGACAGGTAGTTTAGATGGAACTACTCTCCTTCTTCCTTCACTATGTTCTTCACTATCTTTCGTTGTAATTAGTGGGTAAGAATCCGACTTCTCCGAACATCGATGTGGCGCACAGACCTCGACGCCAAGACTGGCCTGGGGAACTCTATGAAAATGGCTCTTTCTACTTTTATAAGAGAAAGGACCTGGAAAACGGCCTTACGCAGGTGGGAGTTTTCAAAATATGGTGAAAAACCTGTTCCTTGACTTCTTAGTCATGAAAAATATTTAAATAAAAGGCTAAATTTTATAGCACAGTTAGGTAATGCAAATATTAAAATAATTAAAAATGAACTATTTGATCATTTAAAATAGGCTGAATCTATATTGTTTTAGACATTTTTTTTCAAGTCCCCGAAATGCTCCTTACCCTTTCTTCTGGTACACCACTTATGAGATTTGAAGTTATTTAATTTATTTTTTTATATATTTTGTCCGAGGTTAAAGTTAATCCAAAATCCAAATGGGAAAAAAATCTAAATAAACAATGAATAATATACAATATTTTTTGTCATTGATGTGTTGAGGATTAATATCATTGAAAATTCAAAAAGTAAAAGAAAAAATTTTCAGAAATGTTGAAATAAAAAGTTTTTCTAAGTTCTGGGTAAGAAAAGGCACCAAAAAAGTGTGTGTTTTTTTCAGTGTTCACATTATACAATGTTTTAATGTTCGCATTTAAGATTTTTTTTGAGATTTACAATTTTATTTTATTTTATTTGCAATTTGTTAATTTTGTTTGAACAGAGGTAAGTACTTTTAGATGAATTTGACACCATTTTAGAAAAAATATTAAATAATCACTGATATCACAACCAGTCCTTAATTTGTGAAACAAACTAAAATAAAGTTCAAAAGTCAAATGTCAAGATGTTCATAAATACTTCCCATCACCTTTTATGAGAGAAAAACAAAGTGAACTCAACATTTTCCAGAATGTCCCAAACAAAAAAAAAAATAACTCATTAGACAAACTCAATTTAATTGAAGGCAGGATATACATCCAACAAATAGGGGAGAGCGGGGCACAACCTAACGCTTTTTGATTTTCTCAGTTTGTGTAAATCTACTAAGGGTTTAGAGTATTTATTTTTTCCCGCATTTAATTTCCCACATGTCTAGTACAATTATTTGATTCTGTTTTATTAATGCAGTGTATACTTTTTTCTTCATTTACCCTGAAATGTGGAAATGTGATGTGAAATGTGATAACATACATGCCCCAGGTATTGTAACAGGTATTGGGCACATTGTAACATCATCAAACGACAGCTAAAAATGCTTAAAAAGTCAAACCAAAATATTTATTTTCATAAAATACAATTATTAACTTTTTCATATACAATAATGGCATTTTTTTAATAATTAAAAATAATTAAATTTTTGATTTCGACAACCATCACACCGGAAAACACAGCTATACAGCATAGTTAAAAAAAACAAATTCAGGTAATGAAATGTAATTGAGTTGGGTCAACTTAATTTGGTAAAATACAGTTTAAATGACATTGATTCATTTTTTTAAATTACTTTTTTTGCTTGTCAAACTTAAAATAAAAAAAATTTAATTGGTAAATTAATTATAAGTGACTGCAACATTTTTTAAAAAAATCCTCTAAATGTCCAACAGCTATGTTGTCCATTAAACACTAACATTAACAACATATTTCCCTTTACTGAAAAACACATAAAATAACACTTAATCCTTAAATTTACTCTCTTGTAAAGCTTGCTGGGAACTCCACAGTTAGTTGTAAACAATGCAGTTTTAACACAAATGAATTAAGTACACATCAGTCTTAAATATATTAGGGTTGATTGAACACAATTCGATTAATTTGTTACAAACTGTTGTCAAAAAAATTGTTACTTTATCTCATTTTAGGAAGCAAAAATGTGCATGTTTGAAACCTCTCCATAAGAGCTCATGATCTATAAACGCAGTTATTTTGATCTGTTCTGTGTGATTTAGCTGGGCAAGATCGCGTACTATGAAATGCTGCCGGAGCACAGCGTTGACATCGACGTGGACATCGACTGGCCTGTCGCTGAGCAGAGAGTTCTGAGGTGGCTATTTCATCAAACTCTGTTTGTGGCAAAACACAATAATGCATATATAATTGCTGGCCGTTTTTGCAGGTTTGGCTACTTCGGCCGAGAGGAGAAAGCGGCGGTCAGGCTGTTTCTGTGTAAAGTGTCTGGATGTTTGACCAGCAGTCAGATATACACGTCGGTTTCTGGAGAGGATCTTGTGGCCATTAATGCTCGAGACGTGGCAGGCGTACAGATGCTAAAGAGAGAAGATATAGAGGTACAGTTGTGTTGGCTGATAATGGGACATAAAATTATTTTAGCAGTAAAATACTGTAAAAATACTATGGTAAATAAACACCTCATTTATTAATGGGAAGTTCCCTTACTATAGTAAAAAACTGTAAATATAACAGGACATTTTAAGTATAATTTTACAAATATTGTCAAATGTACTGACTTTGGATGTAAAAACATAATTTACAGTAGTATGTTTCCATCCACCTATTTGTATCAGTGATTTTTATACAAATTATATTAAGTGTATGTGTATAAATGGGATACCATACACTGTAAAAAGAAAAGAGAATTCTGGGAACCACAGCTGCTGTTAATTTCCCTTTTTATAGAGTAGCTGCACCTATGGCCATTCATAAACCACTTTATTATTGTCAATAGCATGCAACATTAAGAGCAGAAGAACATGTATTAAGAAAGTAAATGGATCATTTTGATTTGATGTTTCCTAACTTTCATCAGGTGATCCTCATATCCAGCGTGAACGAGCTGCTGTCCGGGGCTCTCCTGGAGAAAGTGTCCCAGCGGGTCGGATGTGTCCTCGGGATTGCAGACCAGCAGAAAGGGCTTGATGTGAAGCGGCTGATGGAAAAGAGGAAGCTGCGCTGGGATGAAGTGGCCTTCATGGGTGAGGGAGTCATTTTAAAAATCCAGCTAATCCAGTTTTAAGCATGTCAAGTTTAATTTATTTATATAGCACTTTATATGCAAAACAGATTGTTTCAAAGCAGCTCCACAGTAATAAACAGGAAAATACCAGAGTCAGTGAGGAAGACTTCAAATATGAGACTGCTTCAAATTCTTTTGTCATTATTCAACTCAGTTTAGTGTTGATTCAGTTTATGTCAACAGAACCGAACAGAACCTAGAACCACATGCAAAATAATCAAATTATTCATTGAGGTGAGGCTTTCTCTCACAGGTTCAGAAGCTGAAGACGTAGAGATCCTGTCTCAGGTGGGGCTGAATGCCGTCCCATGTGACGCACCTGTGGCAGATCTCATCGCAGCGAAATACACCTGTCAGAGACCCGCCGGCCACGGAGCCGTTCGAGAGTTTGCAGAGTACATTCTGATGCTGAAGAAAAAGAGCTCGTCGCACGTCAACCAGGATCATATTGACAGGGCTCATTTTTAAAGCCTATTCCAGTTTCGATTTTAAACAATCAGTTTATGTTGCTGTTATAACATGACTCAGGATGTAATTTGACCTGAGTGTGGATTTACTAGTTCCTTCAGTTGAAATGCAATGTTCTTTTAGTAGTTATTGCCAATCCTGTCAGGTGTGGTGGTGGTGAAAGGAGCGAGGACTCAAGTGGAGATTTGATGGCTTTTTAATATTAATAAAATAAAACAAAACAGACAAAAAGTAAGATAAAAAGTCTTCTAAATTATCCGGACAAGTGCTACAAGTTGATACTAGCTATTTATTAGACACTAGTACCTTTTGTAATTGTTAGTAGATCAGAATTTCATATTGTTTTTTGACCATATTGTTAACAACGGCTGCTCCTCATTAAATATTTTTGCTCAGTTTGGGCCTCTGAATAAAAATATGTTATTCAAATTTTTTTTTGTCCTTGAATTTGAGTGAGCTAGGAAAGTTAATCAAGTATGATAGTCCTGCTCTAACAAAAAACAGGAATTGAAACGTTTTTAAAAAGATTTTTAGATATTCAACGAACTTTTCAATTTCTGACAATTATATGTCTTACATGATTATTATCTTGAAGCTTTCGCTACGAAAAATTACGGAGCCCCCCTAGTCCCACTTTGGCAAAAAAAATAAATAATTATAACTATCTTGTGGCCTCAAGATAGTAACTCGTGGCCTCAAGATAGTAAGACGAGTTACTATCTTGAGGCCACAAGATAGTATCTTGAGGCCACGAGTTAGTATCTTGAAGCCACGAGATAGTTATAATTAATTTGTTTGCCAATGTGGGACTAGGGGGGCTCCGTAAAAAATAGTCCAACACTACAACACTGCAACAATTACAATATTTGTTTATACTATTATTATTAGTCGTCATAGTTGTATTAATTAACTAACAATTAAAATAGATTTAGTAACAATGTTGATTATTAAGCAATTTAAGTTACTTGACGTATGTTTTAAGTTCACTCTCATTCCGCTCTTTGTGTCACAGAGGCTAGGTTTTTTATCATCAGTTTTATGTTCACTGTGACGACGGTTAAAATAAAAATAAAGGTTTTTTTAAATAATAAAATAATCATGGAGGGTCAAATTACTCAAAATGAGTATTAAATAAATTAAATACACAATTAAATTGTTAATAAAACATAATGCCATTCAATACATTTTTGAATTAATCTTTGAAATAACTAAATGTGCCTAAACTAGAAACCTTTCAAAATGGATTTATTTGGTCTTTCTAGTTTAGGCACATTTGCCACATAGCAGTTATAGATGATCACGTTACAGTAAAACATCTGATGTTGACTTTTGTGGTTTAAGTAATTTAAATGTTGACAACATAAAGAAAAATGTGCCTAAACTAGAAACCTTTCAAACTTCTTTTGATTTTGATTTGTGTGTGCATGTGGGTGTGTGGCTGTTTGTCTGTTCATTGAATTCTCAGTCATGGAAAAGATTTGCACAAAAGACAAGGTTTTATAGCACAGTTATGTATTACAAATATTAAAAAAAAAACTATTTTATAATATAAAATAGGCTGAATCTATATTGTTTTAGTTTTTTTTTTCAAGTCCCCAAAATGCTGCTTGTCCCCTTTCACTTATGACATTTGCAGTTATTTATTTATTTTTATATCCTTTGGTCGAGTTAATCCAAAATCCAAATTAAACCAAATGGGAAAAAGATAATCAAAATAAACAATGAATAATATAAAATTTTTTTTTTGTCATTGATGTGTTGAGTGTTAATATCATTGAATATACAAAAAGTAAAAAAAAAAACTTTTTAGAAATGTTGAAATACAAAAAGTTCTTCTAAGTTTAGAGTAAGAAAAGGCACCAGAAAAGTGTGCTTTATGTGTGCTTTTTTTCAGTGTTCACATTACAACGTTGTAATGTCTGCATGAAATTTTTTCTTTACAATTTGTTAGTATTTTGTGATGATTTTGAGACAATTTTAGTAAAAATATGTAATAATCACTGATATCACAACCAGTCCTTAATTTGTGAGTCAAACTAAAATAAATAATACTTCATAAATACATAAATACTACATAAATACTTCCCATCACCTTTTATGGGAGAACAACAAAGTGAACTCAAATTTTTTTGAGAATGTCCCAAACTCAGAAAAAAATAACTCATTAGACAAACTCAATGTAATTGAGGGTAAGATATACATCTAACAAATACGTGTAGCCAGTAACCGCAACTCATAAAAGCAAATTCAGGAAATGAAATGTAATTGAGTTGGGTCAACTCAATTTGGTAAAATAAAGTTTAAATGAAATTGATTCATTTTTTTTAAATGACTTTTCAATCTTGTCAAACTTATTTGTGAGACAAACTACAATAAAGTTAAAAAGTCAAAAGTCAAAGATGTTCATATACTTCCCATCACCTTTAGAAAAATAAAGTGAACTCAACATTTTTTGAGTGTCCCAAACTCAAAAAAAAAAAATAAATAAATAAATAAATAAAAACTCATTAGACAAACTCAATTTAATTGAGGGCAGGATATACACATCCAACAAATATGTGTTGGAAAACAAATTCTTTTAATGAAATGTAATTGAGTTGGGTCAACTCAATTTGGTAAAATAAAGTTTAAATGAAATTGATTCATTTTTTAAAGTGACTTTTCAATCTTGTCAAACTTAAAATAAAAAATGTAATTGGTGAATTAATTTGCCAATTACCACAAAATAATAATTGACCACAAAAAAAATAGTAAGGAAAATAGTCCATCATAACACTGCAATTACAATATTAGTTTATACTATTATTATTATCGTTAATAATAATTAACTAAATAATTAAAATAGATTTAGTAACAATATTGATTATTAAGCAATTTAAGTTACTTTTTAAGACTTTTTAAGTGTGTGTGTGTGTGTGTGTGAGAGAGAGAGAGAGAGAGAGAGCGAGAGAGAGAGCGAGAGAGAGAGATATGTTCATGTCACAAATCATAAATTGTTTCTTCAACTTATTAAAATATCTTACTTTACAGCAAATATCTGTTTCTGCTTCTTTATCATATTTATAGTGTGTAATTTATAAAATATCATATATTGATTATTGATTATAAAATCACACATATTGTGTCTGGTCAATTTATATCAGAATATTAAGCCGATATTAAAATACACCGAAATGTCCTGTATCATAGCTACATGAATGATCTTTGCAGCGAAAAACGGCGTGAAAATCAGTTCGTTTTTCAGTGAGATTAAATGCGCTGACTGCTCATTTCACCTGCCATACTGAGCGGAGCGGGTGATCGGTTTAAAGTGGCGGCCCCACGGCTCATCCGTGCCAGTTGGCAGTAGCGGTCGATAGGGCGTCTATCTATCTGATGTCTATGGGTAAAACCACTGATAATTACATAGATCAGACAGTGGGAAAACCCCAACCGTCTCAATTCATTTGCATTGCGAGAGGCTGCTTCCTTGTCATTTATGACTTAGCCTATAACAAAAAACAAAGAAAGCTGTTGTGAGACAGGCTGTACAGCAAACAAGCTAAATAACCCAGAAATTATTCTTATAAGCTGTCGTTGGGTTGGATAAACAGGGTTGGATTGTTGTGAGACAAACTATACAGCAAACAAGCTAAATAACTCAGATATTATTTTTATAAGCTGTCGTTGGATTGGATTGTTTCACAGTAAAGAAGAAGAACCGCACTCTCTAGTTAAATCTCATGAAGGTTTAACTAGAGAGTGCGGTTCTTCTTCTTTACTTTGATCACTGTTTTATAACTCGCACCCAAAAAACGTCTTGGCAGTTGAGCGCGCCTAGTTTGAGCATTGGATTGTTTCACAACAGTGTGGGCGTGGCCTTAACCAGAGACTATCCCTGCGTCCCAATTCGCATACTATCCGTCCTAAATAGTATTCGAAAATAGAATTAGTACGTCCCAAATCGTAGTATGTTGAAATGAGTGTTTCAAAGATACCCGGATGGTCTACTTTTTCCGGTCAGAATCCGAAGTGTAGATCGATGCACGGCTGACCCAGATAGCAAACTGACATTGAATCAACGTGGAAATATGACATTGAAACAACGTTGATCTGACATTGTTTTGCTCATCGAATTAACTTTGAACCAACGTCAGACGCGTCATTCTTTCAAAACTAACGGAAAATCAACTTGAAATCAACGCGTTGTTTCAACGTTATGAAAGCAAACCAATTTTCGATTTTCATTTAGCTTTGAAGAATGCCGCATCTGACGTTGGTTCAACGTTAATTCGATGAGCAAAATCAACGTTGTTTCAATGTCATGAGAGACGTCGTTTCCACGTTGATTCAATGTCAGTTTGCTGTCTGGGGATATTGCCCACAAACCATTGCGCGTCGGACGAGGATTCGGTTAGAACTACAAACACGAGTAAAAAGTGTTAAAAAACTACAGACACGTAGTCTATACGGAGGACGCGCGAGTCCCCGCGGTTGTGTAGAGAGGTTTAGATAAACAGCTTTGAGTGATTAATTATCAGTATCTAACCTGACGAAAATGAATTTATTCAATGTTGTCCACATTATATTGCATTTGCAGCAGCATTGTGAACTTTTGTAAAGACATCCCAAGTCTCCCAGAAGTTCCGGGTGTCTCCCGCAGATTGATAGAGGCTCGTTGATGCCCGCAAATTAGTTCAAATCTCCCGGAGTTTAGAGCGACCGAGCAAGAGCGCGCTCACATACTATGCGCGACAGAGCGAGAGAACCCTTGCGCATGCGCAGTAAAAGTATAACCTGTGGGAAAACGGCGTTTTAAACCTTATTTTGGGGCAAAGTCATCAAACTTTTTCAGCGATTTTTATCATATTTTACTGCTGTTTCTATACATGCAGTTTTTTCATGTCCCGGTGACCAGTGAAAGTGCAGTTCTGACTCTCTGCCCATTCATTTAGACAGGAGCCTGGTCTTGTTAAGTCCGAAATAGCTGCCCGGAGGCGTTGCCAAGATGGCGGCGAGTGGCATGACTTGCCTAAAAGGACTTTACCTTAACACACTCTATCTGACTAATTGAAATACAGGCTGATGGTCGACCTGCTGGGCATTGCTGCCTGTCGCACCTCCACCGGTGCCTTTTGTGCAGGTGTGCTCCACCTCTTTGGCATAAGATGGGTCATCAGCTGGGGACCACCAGTCATCGATGTTTCGCTCCTTTAACCCCAGTACATCTCCTGGTGGCGGAGCGATGGCAGGGATCACTCCCTGCCACCCCCTGCTGATGCCCTAGATGTTACTTGGCCCCCATACCTTGTGCTTCCTCCTTAGCCACAACCAAAAGCTGCCCCTCTCAGCCTCCTCTGCCAGTTCTTTAATGGCTTTTCGACACCCTGCTCCTGTACATCCCATCTCGCGGAGCAGACGAACCGTTGAGGACCCAACAAAGCCCCTGCATCCCACTTCAACTGGCCACGTGGTGGCTTTCCAGCCAGCCTCTTTGCAGGCTTCTGCCAGATCTGCGTACTTGGCACGCTTCCGTTCGTTGGCAGCCTCCATTCCCTCCTCCCATGGGACAGTGAGCTCCACCAACAAGATGGTCTTGCATAACTCTGACCACAT